TTTGGCTCTGTTTGACTGTCACTGGTGTATAAGAATGCTTGTGATTTTGCACATTAATTTTGTATCCTGAGACTTTGCTGAAGTTGCTGATCAACCAAAATTTTAGGCTGAGACAATGGGGTTTTCTAAATGCTCACAATCATGTAAGTGCAAGCCAAGGACAATTTGACTTCTTCTTTTCCTAACTGAATACCCTTGGTTCTTTCTCTTGCCTGAGGTGCCTAGCCAAGAACTTGTACTATGTTGAATAGGAGTGAGAGAGAGGCATCCTGTCTTAATGCAGTTTTCAAAGGGAATTTTTCAGTTTTTGCCATTCAGTATGATATTGGCTGTGGGTTTTATCATAAATAGCTCTTATTATTTTGGTCGTTCCATCAATACGGGAATTTATTGGCGTTTTTTAGCATGAAGAGCTGTTGAATTTTGTCAAAAGCCTTTTCTGCATCTATTGAGATAATGATGTGGTTCTTGTCTTTGGTTCTGTTTATATGCTGGATTATGTTTGTTAGTTTTGCGGGAATGTTGAACCAATGCTTGCATCCCCAGGGATGAAGCCCACTTGATCATAGTGGATAGCTTTTGATGTGCTGCTGAATCAGTTTGCCAGGATTTTGTGAGGATTTTTGCATCGATGTTCATCACAGGGGATATTGGTCTAAAATTCTCTTTTTTTGTTGTGTCTCTGCCAGGCTTTGGTATCAGGATGATGTTGGCCTCATAAAATGAGTTAGGGAGGATTCCTCTTTTTCTATTGATTGGAATAGTTTCAGAAGGAATGGTACCAGCTCCTCCTTGTATCTCTGGTAGAATTCAGCTGTGAATCCATCTGGTCCTGGACTTTTTTGGTTGGTAGGCTATTAATTATTGCCTCAATTTCAGAGCCTGCTATTGGTCTATTCAGGGATTCTTCTTCTTCTGGTTTAGTCTTGGAAGAGTGTAATGTCCAGAAATTATCATTTCTTCTAGATTTTCCAGTTTATTTGCATAGAGGTGTTATAGTATTCTCTGATGGTAGTTTGTATTTCTGTGGGGTCGGTGGTGATATCTCCTTTATCATTTTTAATTGCGTCTATTTGATTCTTCTCTCTTTTCTTCTTTATTAGTCTTGCTAGCGGTCTGTCAATTTTGTTCTTTTCAAAAAACCAACTCCTGGATTCATTGATTTTTTGGAGGGTTTCTTGTGTCTCTATCTCCTTCAGTTCTGCTCTGATCTTGATAATTTCTTGCTTCTACTTTAGCTTTCGAATGTGTTTGCTGTTGCTTCTCTAGTTCTTTTAATTTTAATGTTAGAGTGTCAATTTTGATCTTTCCTGCTTTCTCTTGTGGGCATTTAGTGCTATAAATTTCCCTCTACACTGCTTTAAATGTGTCCCAGAGATTCTGGTATGTTGTATCTTTGTTCTCATTGGTTTCAAAGAACATCTTTATTTCTGCCTTCATTTCGTTATGTACCCAGTAGTCATTCAGGAGCAGGTTGTTCAGTTTCCATGTAGTTGAGCGGTTTTGATTGAGTTTCTTAGTCCTGAGTTCTAGTTCAATTGCACTGTAGTCTGAGAGACAGTTTGTTATAATTTCTCTTCTTGTACATTTGCTGAGGAGTGCTTTACTTCCAATACGTGGTCAATTTTGGAGTAAGTACGATGTAGTGCTGAGAGAAGAATGTATATTCTGTTGATTTGGGGTGGAGAGTTCTATAGATGTCTATTAGGTCTGCTGCAGAGATGAGTTCAATTCCTGGATATCCTTGTTAACTTTCTGTCTCGTTGATCTGTCTAATGTTGACAGTGGAGTGTTGAAATCTCCCATTATTATTGTATGGGAGTCTAAGTCTCTTTGTAAGTCTCTAAGGACTTGCTTTATGAATCTGGGTGTTCCTGTATTGGGTGCATATATATTTAGGATAGTTAGCTCTTCCTGTTGAAGTGATCCCTTTACCATTATGTAATGGCCTTCTTTGTCTCTTTTGATCTTTGATGGTTTAAAGTCTGTTTTATCAGAGACTAGTATTGCAACCCCGCTTTTTTTTGTTCTCCATTTGCTTTGTAAATCTTCCTCCATCCCTTTATTTTGAGCCTATGTATGTCTCTGCGTGTGAGATGGGTCTCCTGAATACAGCAAACTGATGGATCTTGACTCTTTATCAGTTTGCCAGTCTGTGTCTTTTAATTGGAGCATTTAGTCCATTTACATTTAAGGTTAAGATTTTTATGTGTGAACTTGATCCTGCCATTATGATATTAACTGGTTATTTTGCTCATTAGTTGATGCAGTTTCTTCCTAACCTTGATGGTCTTTACATTTTGGCATGTTTTTGCAATGGCTGGTACCGGTTGTTCCTTTCCATGTTTAGTGCTTCCTTCAGGGTCTCTTATAAGGCAGGCCTAGTGGTGACAAAATCTCTAAGCATTTGCTTATCTGTAAAGGATTTATTTCTCCTTCACTTATGAAACTTAGTTTGGCTGGATATAAAATTCTGGGTTTAAAATTGTTTTCTTTAAGAATGTTGAATATTAGCCCCCACTCTTCTGTAACCCGAAGAGTTTCTGCCGAGAGATCTGCTGTTAGTCTGATGGGCTTCCTTTGTGGGTAACCCGACCTTTCTCTCTGGCTGCCCTTAAGATTTTTCCTTCATTTCAACTTTGGTGAATCTGGCAATTATGTGTCTTGGAGTTGCTCTTCTCGAGGCCAGAGGCGGAGCAAGATGGCCGAATAGGAACAGCTCCAGTCTCCGACTCCCAGCGGCAACACAGAAGACAGCGTTTCTGCATTTCAACTGGTACTGGGTTCATCTCACTGGGGGTGCCAGACGATCGGTGCTGGTCAGCTGCTGCAGCCGATAGCGAGCTGAAGCAGGCGAGGCATTGCCTCACCTGGAAGCGCAGGGGAAGGAATCCTTTTTCTTCAGAACTGAGACACACACAACACCTGGAAAATGTCGGAGTAACTCCACCCCAATGCGCTTTAAGCAGACAGGCACACCAGGAGATCATATCCACACCTGGCGGGAGGGTCCACACCCGGAGCCTCCTCATTGCTAGCACAGCAGTCTGTGATCTACCAGCAAGGCAGCAGCGAGGCTGGGGAGGCGCCCGCCATTGCTGAGGCTTCGTAGGTAAACAAAGCTGCTGGGAAGCTCGAACTGGAGTGGAGCTCCACAGCAGCTCAGGAAACCTGCCTGTCTCTGTAGACTCCACCTCTGGGGACAGGGCACAGTAAATAATAACAAACGCAGCAGCTCTGCAGGCATAAGCGACTCTGTCTGACAGCTTTGAAGAGAGCAGTGGATCTCCCAACACGGAGGTTGAGATCTGAGAAGGGACAGACTCCTGCTCAAGTGGGTCCTGACCCTGAGTAGCCTAACTTCAGGAGACATCCCCACTAGGGGCGATCAGCACCACCTCCTGAGGTGGAGTACACCCCTGAGAGGAAGATTCCAAAAGCAAGAATCAGACAGGTACACTGCGCTGTTCAAGAAATATTCTATCTTCTGCAGCCTCTGCTGCTGATATGCAGGCAAACAGGGTCTGGAGTGGACCTCAAGCAATCTCCTACAGCTACAACCTACAATGAGCATCCTGGCTGTTAGAAGGAAAGCTATCAAACGGAAGGACACCTACACCAAAACCCCATCAGTACATCACCGTCATCAAAGACCAGAGGCAGATAAAACCACAAAGATGGGAAAAAGCAGGGCAGAAAAGCTGGAAATTCAAAATAGACGCATCTCCCCGGCAAGGCGCAGCTCATCGCCAGCAACGGATCAAAGCTGGACGGAGAATGACTTGACGAGATGAGAGAAGAAGGCTTCAGTCCATCACATTTCTCAGAGCTAAGGAGAGATTACGTACCCAGCGCAAAAGAAACTAAAATCTTGAAAAAGTGGAAGAATTGATGAGCTTAGAGTAATTAAGTACGACTCTACTTGAAATGAAAGAGGCGAAAACCATGACACGAGAAATACGTGACAAATGCACAAGCTTCAGTAACCGTCTCGATCAACTGGGAGAAAGAATGTCAGCGATGGAGGATCAAATGAATGAAATGAGCGAGAAAGAGAAACCAAAAAAGAAAAAAAGAAGAAAAAGTAGACAAAGCCTGCAAGAAGTATGGGATTATGTAATAAGACCAAATCTACGTCTGATTGGGGTGCCTGAAAGTGAGGGAAAATGGAGACCAAGTTGGAAAACACTCTTCCAGGATATGTCCAGAACTTCCCCAACCTAGTAGGGCAGGCCAACATTCAAATCCAGGAAATACAGAGACGCCACGAAATCTGCTCAGAACTTTTGAGAAAAGGCTTTGAACTGCTCAGATGGGACCTTTGAATTCGCTTACCCACCATCCTTATTTCCGTTAATATTCTAACCTCCTTTATCGTAGACAAGTATCACAAATATTAATTCAGAGTTATAAAAAGAAGCAATACATTACCAATTTTTTCAAATATGATGTCATTGGCAGGGCAGGCCAACATTCAAATCCAGGAAATACAGAGAACGCCACAAAAATCTACTCAGAACTTTTGAGAAAAGGCTTTGAACTGCTCAGATGGGATAACTGAATTCACTTTACCCACCATCCTTATTTCCGTTAATATTCTAACCTCCTTTATGCGTAGCCAAGTATCACAAATATTAAATTCAGAGTTATAAAAGAAGCAATACATTACCAATTTTTTTCAAATATGATGTCATTAGCTAAATTCCTTAAGTCTTTATTTTTATATTTTAAAAAAGGGACTTTAAAGAATAGTTTTTCTTCAGTTATGAAAGGTAGAATTTCATTTTAAAACCTTTTCTTATTTATATTTTCTAATATGCACTTATCTTTTGAAGCATTTAATCCCATAATTTACCTAAAGGAGTTATTTGTGAATTTATCATGCATATAATAACAAAATGAAAATAGCAAATAATGAATAATCGGTCTTAAAGAAAATGAAACCATTTAAAGAAATATTTCCACTGTCTTTCAATGGTATTGTATAATATGATACTTACAAAGGTTCTGGGCAATTTTAGAATCTAGAAACCTAAGTTCTTTAATTTTTTTCTTAATTGATTTATTCTCTTCAGTATCTTCCTCTTCTCTTCTCTCTGTAAAACCAAGAGTAGGTCCATGTTAGGGTCAGTAATTCATTCAAATACAAAAGTGTAAAAAGTGAACTTCTATCATTAAATAAGCTAAAAAGGATGTAACTCTTCTAAATAAAAGTTATAAAAATAAATAAAACAATAGATATCCCAAGACCTGAACTGTTGAAGATAGAAACTGGGAGCTTTTATGTCAGAGAAACTATGGAAAGTAAGTATTTGAAAGTCTAACAGGAAAAGCAACAAAAAAACATGTATACTACGGAAACCAATACCATTGGGTTTAAGAATAACTACAATTAGCTCATTTGAATAGCATACAGGACACAGTTATAAAAATTAATATACCTGCACTCAAGTTGCAAGTATATTAATTGGATTATATTTTTAAATTGGATTATGAAGCTAGCTCTAAGAATGCTAACTAAAACACAGTCATTTTATGTCTAATGTACAATATCATTCTTATTTAAAAACATGGCTTATGGAAAATTAAAATAATAGATTTTATTGATTGTGAATGTCGAATCATCTATGCATCCTTGAAATAAATCCCATTTGATCATAGTGTATTATCTTCTTGAGGTACTGTTGGATTTGTTTTGCTGCTATTTTGTTGAGGATTTCTGCATCTAAATTCATCAGGAATATTGGTCTAAGTTTTCTTTTTATGTTGGGTCCTTGTCTTGTCTTGGTATCAGTGTCAAGCTGGCCTTGTAGTATGAGTTAGGAAGAATTCTCTCCTCTTCATATTTTTGTAATATTTTGAAAGGAATTGGTGTTAGTTCTTCCTTAAAACCTTGGTAGAATTCAGCAGTGAAGCCATCCAGTCTTGGGCCCTTCTTTGTTGGAAGATTGTTTACTACTGATTCAATTTCCTTACTCATTATTGGTCTGTTCAGGTTTCCTATTGTTTCTGATTCAATCTTGGTAGCTAAGTGTCCAGAAATTTCTTCATTTCTTCTAGGTTTTCCAATGTGTTGGCAAACATTTGTTCATAATTAGCCTCTAACAATCCTTTTTATTTCTGTGGTATCAGTTGTAGTATCTCCTTTTGTGATTCCGATTTTATTTATTTGGGTTTTCTCTCTTTTTTCTTCTAACGGTTTATCAATTTAATCTTTTTTTAAAAAAACAACTTTTTATTTCTTAATCTCATATTGTTTGTTTTTTGTTTGTTTGTTTGATTTGAGACAGGGTCTCATTTTGTCACCCAGGCTGGAGTGCAGCAGCATGATCAGAGTTCACTGTAACCTTGACTTCTCAGGCTCAATTGATCCTCCCACCTCCGCCTCCTGTGTAGCTGGGACTACAGATGTGTGCCACCACATTCAACTAATTTCTTTTTATTTTTCATAGAGACAGAGTCCCACTATGTTGCCCAGGCCAGTCTTGAACTCCTGTCCTCAAGTGCTCCTGCCCTCAAGTGATCCTCCCACCTCAGCCTCCCAAAGTGCTGAGATTACAGGTGTGAGCCACCTCACCCAGCAATGTGTCTTCTTTTTTTGTCTCTATTTCACTTAGTTCTGCTCTGAACTTTATTATTTGTTTCCTTCTACTAACTTTGGGTTTGGTTTGTTCTTTTCCTAGTTCCTTAAAATACATCACTAAGTTCTTGAATTGCAATCTATTTTTTTATGTAGGCATTTTTTGCTACAAACTTCCCTCCTAGTACTGTTTGTGCTATATTCCAAAGGTTTTGGTATATTTTGTTTCTACTTTAACTCATTTCAGAAATATTTTTTATTTTCTTAATTTCTTTGTGACTTATTGTACATTACAGAAGCAAGCTGTTTAATTTCCATATTATTTGAAAAGTTCCCAAAGTTCCTGTTATTGATTTCTAGTGTTACTCCATTGTGAGCTACAAAAGTACTTAATATAATTTTGATTTTTGAAAATTTGTTGAAACTTGTTTTCTGGCCTAACAAATGGTCTATTCTGGAGAGTGTTCCATGCGCTGAAGAGAAGATGTGTGTTGTGCACCTACTGGATGCTATGTTCTATAAATGTCTATTAGATCCATTTGGTCTACAGTGCAGTTTCAGATTGATATTTATTTGACAATTTTCTAGCTAGATGGTCTGACAAATGCTGAAAGTTAAATTCTCCAACTACAACTATATTGGAGTGTCTCTCTCCTTGTAGACATCTGCTTTAAACATCTGGGTGTTCTGGCATTGGGCATGTATACATTTAAAACTGCTATATTCTCATGCTGAATTGGTCCCTTTATTATTATATAATGATCTTGTCTCTTTTTATCTTTTTTGACAAAATCTATTTTGACTGATACAAGTGTAGTTTATTCCTGCACACTTTTGCTTTTCATTTATATACAATACATTTTTTTCAATCCCTTTGCTTTCAGTCACTGTGTATCTTTACAGGTGAAGTGAGTTATTGTAGGCAGCATATTTTTTAATCCATTCAGACAGTCTATAACTTTTAATTAGATAATTTACACTACTTATAATCAAGGTCATTACTAATGGGTGAGCACTTACGCCTGTCATTTTGTTGATCATTTTCTGATTGTTTTGTATATGCTTTGTTCCTCTCTTCCTCTCTGTTTATCTTTGCAGTTTGGTGGGTTTCTGTAGTAACAATATTTGCGTCCTTTCTCATTTGTGTATCTGCTCTATAGGGAGTTTTACACTTTTATGTGTTTTAACAGTGGTAGATACAGCTTTCTTTGCTTCCAGATATATGACTCCCTTAAGCAAGGAGTCTAGTGGTGATGAATTCCCTCAGTGTTTGCTTGGCTGGGAAAGACTATTTCTCCCTCATCTCTGAAGAATAGCTATACTGAGTAAAGTATTCTTATCTTACAGTTCTTTTCTTTAAGCATTTTGTATGTATCATCCAATTCTCTCCCAGCCAGTAAGTTTTCTGCTAAAAAAACTGATGTTAGTCTGATGGGGATTCCCTTACATGTGACTTGACACTTTTCTTTTGCTATTTTTATAATGCATTCTTTGCCATTGACTTTTGAAAATTTGAATATAATATGTCTCACAGAAGACTTTTTGAGTTGAATCTATTTGGGAATCTTTGAGCTTCGTGTATCTGGATGTCTATTTCTTTCTCAAGACTTAGAAAGTTTTCAGCTATTATTTCATTAAATAGGTTGTCTATGCCTTTTTCCATCTCTTCTTCCAGTAATCCCAAAACACAAATATATATTTGCTTAATTGTGTCCCACATGTCACACAGACTTTCTTAAATCTTTTTCTCTATTTTTCTTTTTTCTTTTTTTTTTTTTTTTGGTTTGTCTGGGTTATTTCAAAAGACCTATTTCCAAAATCAGAAATTACTTCTTTTCGTTGCCTAGTCTACTGATAAAGATCTTGGTTGTATTTTTTATTTCCTTTATTGAATTCTTCAATTCAAGAATTTCTATTTGGCTCTTTTTTTATATCTATCTCTTTGTTGGATTTCTCATTCTAATCAATTGTTTTCCTGATTTCTTTATATTGTCTACTTGTGTTCTCTGTGTTTCATGGAGTTCTGTAACGATCATTATTTTGAATTCCCTTTCAGGTCTTTTATAAATTTCTTGTTATTTGGGGTGTGCTGCAGGAGAATTACTATGTTCCTTTGAGGTATCATGTTTCTTTTCTTTCTCATGTTTTTTTTTTGTGTGTCCCTATAGTGATATCCATGCACCTCCTGTAATAATGACTTCTAATTTTATAGAGTAGATTTACAGCATCAATTTAGTAGAGTGTTTGGAGTTTTGGGTGGGAGCAGCCACATAGTCTCTGTGTGATTTATTCAGCTATAATCACCAGCTGTGTCTGAGATTTCCTCAGTGGCTTAGGCTGCAGTTGTTTGTGGAGGCTTTGGTATGATTTTCCTAGTGATGAAGATGAACAGCCAGACCCAAAGTGGGTCTGTCCTTGAGCCCAGGTGGCATGTATATGGATACCAGCAGGCTCTAGCCACATCAGTCCTTAATTCCCTGGGCAGCAAACATAGGTTCTGGGAAGACCAGTCCTTGGGTCCCTGGGGGTTGTACTTGGGCACTGGCAATAACAGTCAGGTGGCACATGTGATCGTACGGCAGTCCCACAGTGGAGGTGGCAAGGTCACTATTGGACAAAATTGGGAACTTGATAAGAAAGAAGAATGTAGCAATGTGTTTTGGTAGATATGTAAACCACTAAAGGTAAAGTTCAAAATCTAAAATGCTCCAAAATCTGAAACTTTGAGCATCAAGATGGCACTCAAAGGTTATGTTCAAAGGAAAGGTTCATTGGAGCATTTCAGATTAGAGAGATTTGGATTAGAGGTCCTCAATCAGTAAGTATTATACAAACATTCCAAAATCTAAAATACAAAACACTTCTGGTCTGAAGCATTTCAGATAGGGGATATTCAACCTGTATATTACAATTATATATTTTGGTACACAGCATAAGAATCAAATTTTCCATTTTCCAAAACATTTGATATTTCTGTGTCATTTTATGTAACTCACCATCTTTCTCAACTGATTTTAAGTTACACTTTGACCATATACTTAGTGTCTAGATATGTTATTTCTATTTTTCTGGGCTACTAGTTCTGCTCCATTATTCCCTGTGCTACTGTTAACACTGCTATCACCCTGTCTTACGTACTATAGATTTATGATACATTTTATTCATTGGCTGTTCAAATTATTTTTCTCCATATCTAAATTTTGTGCATTTTTTTGTTTGCTTTTTTGAGATGGAGTCTTGCTCTGTCGCCCACGCCACAGTGCAGTGGTGAGATCTCGGCTCACTGCAACCTCCTCCTCCCGGGTTCAGGCGATTCTCCTGCCTCAGCCTCCTGAGTAGCTGGGACTACAGGCGCATGCCACTATGCCCAGCTAATTTTTGTATTTTTTTTTTAAATAGAGACGGGGTTTCACCAGTTGGCCAGGTTAGTCTCGAACTCCAGGCCTCAAGTGATCCACCTGCCTTGGCCTCCCAAAGTGTTGGGATTACAGGTGTGAGCCACCGCGCCCGGCCCTC